GGGGAGAAGGAAACAAGAAACCGTGAAGGAAACGCATGAAGGGGTTCAAATAGAAAAAGGGGGCTCCACAAGTGTCATTAAACTCCTGTGACCTATCTCCATTTACATGGTGTATGCCTTCGTAAATCGCCATTTTTGATTCTTTCTTTTCAAACAGGTATTCAATTAGAAAAGTTCATTCTAAGGTCAACATACATGTATGTATATATATATATATATATCAAAGAACTTTCAAAATCTTTAAGAACTCAGGGATCTTTGACTTCTTCCCTGCATACATTGTATAGAGATAAAGATGTAGATGACCTTGATTTATACTTTCAAGGTTTGCATGCATGAATCCTACATAAAAGATGTGAAATTTGTTGGGGTCGATCTGGACCTACATTTTTGGGCACCCTTGTGTCCCAGGCACATGCAACTTTTAAAAATTGCACATTCATTTTTTTTGTTATAAGAGCCATCCCTAAAAAAATCATTTGCTTCTGTGCTACAAATCATTTTAAGATGTTTTGTGGCATATTGTACTAGCCGAAACACTTCCAACAGATTTTTAAATTTAACTGTTTGAATTTGTAGATCACATCTTTAACTCACTCTGCTACTTCAGAAGCAAACCTCAATCATTGCTCTCATTTGTTTGCAGTGAACCCTGGGATATATCTCCACTTGGGTGCCATTTAAAACACATTGTATCCTGGAAACAGATGCAATGCTTCTAGACCCACTTCCAAGTCCATCATAGAGGTGAAAATAACTTTCCTTGATACGTATAACAAATGTGTGCTGGCCCGGTATTCTCTTGATACTACTGTAAGTGCCAACTGCCAAGTGAGATCAGGAATGAATTATGGAGGAAAAGAATGTAGGCTGGGTTCGATGCTATGGCTGTGGGAGACAATAATAAATCTGTAGGCCTACAGTACGTGCTTTCTGCCATTGAAGCTTTTGAAACACTGCTAGAAGATCATATGCTTGGGGAGTATTATTAGTAGTATTGTGAAATCTGTATATTTAAAGACTGCTCAACGTGAATGGTTAACATGAAATGGTCCTTATACTATAGACAGGTGGTCTTTATGTAAAGGTTCCTTTACTACAGGTTTAAATGAGAAACCATATTCAAGGGAAAACAAAAAAGTGGTCATAATAGACAGGTGGTCTTGATAGACAGGTGGTCTTTCTATACAGGTGGTGGTTACTGGTTTTGAGTCCTGTATTCTATACCATCTGGGGAGAGCAACAGGGTGTGTTCTCCTTGGGTCCTTTGAAATGCCCTTCTGGCTCTTAAAGGGATCGTTTAACAATGTTATATCTGAGATGCACAGCCCTACGTGCTATCAGTGTCTGTGATATGGTGTAATATCGAATAACTAAAAAAAATCACGCTTCAAAATGATCAAGAAGTGCCTCAAAAAAGTAAAAATCTTTGAATGACCGCTTTTACCATACTCGTTTTCCCCAATCATACACTGTAGTGTTATGAAAACCGTTTGGCAAACGGTTTTCAAAATTTGTAATTCCAATCATAAATATCTTGATAATCAGACAGGCGATCTGCTTGTAAAAGTCATGGGGTTCCTGACTGACCTAAAGGTTTATAATTATCAATCCAAGATTTTGTTTCAGAATCTGAGACAAAGTTACTGGATCCCTTTTATGTTCTTCTTCCATAGATAAAAAAAGTGCTTAACTAGATAGATCACCTTGTCATATCATCTACTGAGCTTGAGAAGCAGAATGGCATTGAATCATTATTAAAGAATTCGAGTTAAACCCCTTCTTGGTGCAATTAAACAATGTACATGTACTTTGAATTGCTCCAAATGTTTTAGATTCGGCACACTAATTGCAACTTTAGGAGATTTTTTGTTTGCTTCATCAGTCACAAAGTGGACAACATCTCCAAAGGAATGTAACTTGAAAGGTTTCAGAAAACCTATGAGTACAAGCAATTATTATGGTATTTTTAGAATACTGCAGGTAATTGTACAGTATAGCAAACAGTTTCCAGACTAGCGGTACTATGCATTTGCACATTAAACACATTACACACACTATGGCATATATTTGTAAAGGTTGTGACTGAAATTGAACTTCTGAGGATGACTGTACAGTCATTCATGCTATTTTTAAGTGACAGAAATCATGCCCTACGCTGTGTGCAAGATGGACAAAGGCTCGATCCACCTCTCTCTTAAAGATAAAGATCAGTATGGTCATGCGATTGCATTGTGAAAGAAACGTTGTGGAATCGATCAGAAAAGGTTGATCATCTAGCATATAGATATTGCTGTGTACTTCAAGGTTCTGGAATCTGGAATCATCAAAATGATAAGAAATCTGGCCCAGTCTTGGTAAAGTTACAAGCACTGTACACAGAAAGATGTATATGGGACTACGCGACACGTGCGCGACACGTGCGTTATATCTATCAGGTCCAAATAGATATAATAATTTACCAAATTTATCAATGAGTAGGTGGTTTCTCAGGAAAATTTGTGTCATCACGTATTAGTCAAAACATATTCTTTCACGGTTTCACATGATTGGTAATAAGAGCTTCCATTTCATTTTGTGAGAGGGGGGGGGGGGGAGTTTCCTAAACTGGTCTTTACCTATAAGAAAAGTTTCATGAAAATTATGATACATCAAGTGCCATAGAAATGAATAAATAATTATAAATCAATGACTGGAAGTTCATGCGTAGATCTCCTTGCTTCTCAGCAATATTTTGCCAATTATTAAAAGAAAAATTGCAAAACTAAATGCATAATTCTCCCCTAACCCTTCTACTAAAAGTAATAGTACATTTTAGATTGTACATACAGTAGTTTGAATTTGATTTCATGAAGTCACGTGCAGGAGAGCTTCAGTTTTCAATTGAGATAGATTATCAATTTAAATACCACATTTTCCATTCAATATTGTCTTTGTCCAAGCAGCCACTCAACAGAGTATACTGTAGATGACGCATTGGGCAATTTCCGGTCAGAGCTTTCAACCAAATTTATGCAATACTGAAATTCTATAAAAGAGATCTAGCCCCCTTAATTTCAATTTCAAATAGGAAAATAGATTGACCACACTTCAGTCATTAAGAGATTAATCTACTGCAATGACGACTTTTAACGCATCCACAGGATTTGCATTCTTCCCCTATTCTAGATTTCTATTTATCCTATTTCCTCTATTTAGATAATTCCCCCCTTGAAATGTACCATAACACTATGCCTGAATGCACTTTCCTAATATGTACCCTTCTCTTGGTCTAAGTGGTGAAGAAAAACAAATCTGAATTTATTTCTCCCCCCCCCCCCCCCTCCTCACTCTCCTTTCATCTATTTAATTGATTTGCATCCCCCTCTCTCTCTCTCTCTCTCTCTCTCTCCTTCTCTCTCTAGTACTCCCTGCCATATTTTTCTTTTATGATAAAGCAATGTTTGAATGGTCATAATTAATGATGTGATAAATGAACAGACAACAGAAGAACATACATGTACATGTACATGTACAGTGTATGTTGACAAAAAAACAAAAAATAAGAAAAAATAGCAAATTCCATATTTTTAAGAACCATTACTTGCTTTTCATTTGCCAATTTTTTCCTTTCAATCATTTTTATTTTCCTGTGTACCTGTAGGATGACCAAAACTGTGCAATTAGGTACAATTCAATCATGTCAAATAAATGCAATGGACAAACCGAAGGGGTATGTTGTACATGTACATTCATATTCTTTGTGTTTTTCTCTTTTGTCTTCTACGTATTGTTTGTGTTTCTTTTCTCTTTTTTGTAAGCATCTACATGTACACTGTATACCCTGAAATATCAGCCTCTGGCAGCCTAGCAGGTAATAAATTGTTCCCACATTAGTACAGAATACTCCTAGAATAGATTTGAACACACTCTAAATACTACTATGGAGTCTGTGACACAATAGATCATATCATTGTCCCGTTCTCAGTTTCTTTCAATCCACAATATGTGGTGTCCACAATGGATTAAAGCATTAGAGATTGAGGGAGTTATCAATGTATCCTACAACCTAAATATTCATGGAAAACACAATTGTCATATAGGATTATAAAGTGAAGAGCTACAATGTATATACCTTTTTATTGCAGAGATTAGGAAGATGACAAAAGAAAGGATTTTGAGAAGATCCACTTGGGGGACATCACCAAGATACTTTTGTAGAATACTCCAATAGTTGATGGATACAAGCAGTCAGGCACTTCATATTAATTCTCTATACAGAATGACCCAATAGGCCATTACACTATTGTACAGTAACAGTATATCATCAAGGTTTGATCTTATGAAACACTGCAGGTCAAACTCTTTCACATCACAAGTAAACATGTAGTCCTGTGCTAAAAATAGAATGATTTGTTCTCAAAAACAACATGTACCAGTACAGGTAAATTTAAAGATAGCATAATATTTTAAGCACCTCGAGCACCCTGCATGGTGGAGTTGAATGTTATTGTAAACAAAATATATTACTACTATTACTAAGTTATTAATTCAGTCAGTCATGATCAATAGTGCAAATCTGGCTTACTTGTTACTCCTAGGGTTAAAACAAAGTGGGGGGAGCGAACCTTCGCTCATGCTGGGCCTTCATTATGGAATACTCTCCCTCAATGGATTAAGAATAGCAGTTCTGCTGAAGTGTTAAAAAACCTTAAGAAATATGTTTGATTTAGCTTATAATTTATTACCATAGCCTTTCATGTCTGTACCTTTCCTATTGCACTCTGTATAAATGTATCATGTACGTATTTCATCTTTTGCACAAGCTGCGCCTTGAGCATTTGACTGTCAAGTGGATTTGGCGCCTTATAAATCTTATCTATTATAACAAGATATACAATAGATCACAAATTTCTATAAATACCCCCACCTCTCAAAAGAAGAAGAAAAAAGAAGAAGAAAAAAAAAAAAGAAAAAAAAAAAGATTTGCTTTGAGTTTTGTCAATTCAACTTCTCCTTACCTGGTTGCCTTCTCTGTTGCTCCATACCCCCTGCATGACCTTGCCAAACTCTCCCCGACCTAGCTCTTTGTCCAGGATGTTGATGTCTGTAGCTGGGATGATGTGCCCTCCACTAGGTGGGCCCCCTGGTCCGGGGGCAGTCATTCTGGAGAGGGGCGGTGGGGGCTTTGTCACATTTTTGCCTCCCTTCTGTAATGGTAAGAGAATGAAATACATAAAGTTATTGCTCAATGAGAAAAGAAAAAAGCAAATTCAGGGAGAATTTATTAAACAAATGTTAGCACAAGACAAGACTTTTACAATATGAACAATATCATACCTGTGCCCTCGCTGCCGTGGGCTGTGCCACCTCCTTTTCCATCTCTCCCTTGCTTCCCCCACCCCCTTTACAACTTTAATAAGTTGTAAAGTAATAATCCCCTACCCCCCTTCTTTCCTTTAATAGTTACTTCTCCCTGTTAGGACTTAAGAGCTTGAAATTAATCACCATATTTCGTTGCAGGGCGCGACAAACCCGCTTGCCCGACGTCCCGGGGCAACCAAATTGAGCCGTCGGGCAAGTAAATCAAATTATCACTTGCCCGATTCGGGCAAGTGATACTTTTACAGTAATTTCCTAGTGTCCAAGAACTCTACCATTCACCCGTCAACTTCTTACCCGTCGTCAAAATCCAGAAGCAAAAAAGCGATCGTTCCGATTTCGAAAAAACTTCACAGACAGCTACATGTAGCCAGCTCAGCTAGCTCAGCGCGCATGCAACAGTGACACTTCAAGCCATGAATGCCGCTCCGCCTCCACGCACGGCCGGCCGTGAGCTAGCTAGAGACAGCTAGCGCGATCGTACCAGCTGCGAGCTTATTCGCGCTCTCTCTCTCTAGCTCTGCAGGCCGCACCGACAGGCCTTTGCTATTCTCTGATTGCCGATTGGTTGAATCACGCCAAATATGACGTCATTATTCTAGGGAAATGAACACGTGCGAATCGGAATGGAATAAACAACAGGGATTTTCTAGTAAGTACAAAAAGTCAAATGTTTGATATTTATTCATAATGACTGTTAATGATTGTGAACATATTATTTAAAACTCGCTGCTCATATAAATCAGATGAATGTTTTTGTCTCGTTTTCAATTTATTACTGCGGTCTCAAGATCCGACCGAGCGAGTCATTTTGATAATAGTATCGAGACCCCCAGAATATAAGCCGTTGTTGTTTTGTTTTCATGGTTTTTCGCTTTAAAGTTTTGGGCAAGTGGAAATATTGTTTGGGCAAGTAAATTGAAAACCCACTTGCCCGACAGGGCAAGTGGTGAAAAAAATTCTTGTAGCACCCTGCGTTGGTGCCATGCATTACTTCTATTTTGATATATCTTTCCTTGTCTCTCGATCTTGCCCCTTTCTTTCTTTTTCACCTCTCCTTTTCTCTTTCACAATGTCTCTTTCTTCTTTTCTCTTCTTTTTTCTTCTTATTCTCTCTCTCTCTCTCTCTCTCTCTCTCTCTCTCTTTCCTTCCTTCTCAATGACACACTAAAATTAACTTTACATACATGTTCACCTTTAAATTTTGTGAATAGAATATCAACACAAACACTCTAACATTACAGTCAAAGAAAACTTGCGCTTCTAATAAGAATTTCATGTTCAATAAAAAGAAAAGGATTGAGACATAGTGGAGTGGACACGTCAGCTATTAGAAGAAGGGAAAAAGGGGAAACATTAAATACACAAGTTGTTTGGCGTGCAGGCTACAGCAAGCAAAAATAGAAACATGGTTGGTTAATGAGTTCCTTAAGATCTTGATCCGTTATCTGGCCTACAAATTCAGCCGTGACAGATGAGGAAATCATGGTCTACTTTGGGGCGAGATTGGAATGGATGATATTTGACAGTGCAGTGATGCCAAGATGTAACTCCTGCTACTAGCTTTGCTGCTCTTTACTGTGAGTGCCTGGCAGAATAATTCACTAATGGTGACGTACATAATAAATATATCAAGAAAAATAAATTCCAAATTGTGGATTGCTCTTTGCCTATGCTGCATGTACATGTTCATGTTGCAACATGTTTCAATAGGCCTGTCCTCACTAGCTCGAGATTGCCGAATATCACGATATTTGAACGATCCCGATCGCAAACTATCCAGCTAATTTGCGTCTTCATCAGTCCGAAGTTGCAATTAGCGGGATATTTGGTCGGGATTGTCATCCCAAAATATCTTGGGATAGTTTGCAAAATGTCCCATTATTTGGCAAAATATCCAGCTATTTGTCAGGTGCATCTTCACCAGACCGAAGACTCCCACTTCGTGCGAGCGCTGAGCAAAATATCTCGAGCTAATTTCTCAAGGTCGAGTTTCAAGTTTCGAGGTTGAATCTCGAGCTGATGAAGACGCGATTTGTAACTTTGGGATTAATTCCCAAATCAGAAATAGCGGGCTATTTGGCAATCTCGAGATGATGAAGACGCGCCTAATGACTAAATAGTCAACAATTGTCAACGATCAAATAACAAAGTTTAGCATTTAGATGTAAACATTTGTATTGTATTCTGCTGAGCACAACATGGCTTTGTAAAGTTGTATGATACAAAATACAAGTATGGATTCGTGGACAAACAGGACAACAGATGGACATTCAGTGCACATATAAACGCATTCTAAAGTTTGGTTACATTCTTGATTACATTCTTGTACCACATTTCAGTCTGCATACCATCAAAATTGTCAGAAGTGGTACCATAACTCAGGCAATCAAAACTAACAATTTTAGCGACTACCTTACATGTACTATTTGTAGATTAAATCTGTGTTTGCGGCTTTGCAGCTTTGCGCCCTTTTGCCAGGCACATGACATATTACCTACTGTATGTGCAGCATACAACACATGTACATGCAGCTTACATCTGGCATACGTAGCATTCATGTCGTTTAATGTGTCTGCCGTGTGTGTCACATTCAGAGGCTGATTGATGATAGCAGTCAAACTAGAACCAAATTATGTTTGATTTTCCTTTCCTCAGTATTAAATCAGGGTCCCTTTCTAACTACTCCAATAAAACGTAGTTTATCAAAATACATTTTTGACATTCTACTCAGATATCCTGAAAAATACGGTGTATATACACTAGGCATACAGTGAGTGGAAAATAAAAGCCATAAAACTAACAGACTAGAAGTTACAGCACATTTTATACATGCATCAAGTCGTGATTGCATGCTCTGCGATTGCATGAACATAACCTGGTCTAGGCTGGAGACAAACCATATGGTCAAGTGATGACGAGAGAGGCATGGAAAACACTTCACTATACAGGCAAACAGTGTCTCTTTCGTCAGTTCGACTCCTGCAACCTTACCCCCCCCCCCCCCTCTTCCCCCACCTTCACTTCGACCATGGACATGCTTCAACCCACCTTCCCCTGCAGAGCAAGAAATATATTTTACATGATTCACTGACTCTGTGATTGATCACTGAGTCACTGGGCATTTTGCAATCCATGCATAATTGATCTGTTTAAAGGGCATTAATTCATGTAACTCTGTGTTTAAAGGTTACAAGTTAATGCCCTTCTGGCACCAAACAGATGAAATCATGAGTTGGTTTCATCCCTAGCTCAAAGCAATTCAACACTCATGCACAAATTACAACGGGTTTTTGTATTCATAGCCAATTCCACAAGATCAGCATCGAACAAAAATATAATATTACTTTATCTCATCTAGACCTCTCATTTAATTCAGATTCAACATTATAATTTTAATTTGAAATGTGCATATTTGCAGGCGCCTGCACTATAGAAAATCCTACGCTGGTCTTTCGTTTTAAGATAAAGTTGAGTTCTGGCCATGCGATTGCATTGTAAAGAAAACTGCTGAAGAGATTGATCATGTAGCAGATTCAAATAAGTATTGGTCCATACTGTGAGCTTGTGAGGTTTTGAAATCATCAAGTTGATAAGAAAGACCAGTCTTGTTAAAAGTCACATACAACAAAGGAGGTTTCAGAGGACACCTATTCCATGATACTTTTCCACACTAATATCAAAACTAGAATTTAAATCGTCACGAGGACGATTAAGGTGGTCTGTCTTTAAGTCTTATGATAGATTATAATATTTACTATATTGAGAAAGGGAGAAGTTATATAGACATGTAAACAATGATGATCGTCATGATGATCATGATGATGATGATCTTGATAGTAATTGTGATGACGATGATGATGATGATCATGATGATGTTGATGATTATCATCAACAGACCATGATGACATCAGACTGACAAAAATGAGAGAACATTTCGTCCTTGTTTTCACGAAGTGACAGTAGTGAGGAAAATCGTAACGCAAAGTGAATGCAATTCTTTTTCACTACCGTCACTTCGGGAAAACAGCAACGATATTTTAGATATTATATAGTCTCAGCTACAACATACTAAAAAATCAACAAAAATCAAGCCGAAATAACGGCGATATTGCTCGCAAAAGACAAGAATGTAGAATCCAGATTTGAGAAAAAGTCATCTCCCATAAGGATTACACGCAAAAAATATTGGATCAAGTGATAATAGGGTAATAATAAAGTAAATCTAGTTGTTTATTACATTATTAGCGATTCTACGTGTTTTAATGAGCAAAGGAGATGGTATAGTGAAAGGTCAAAAAGAAAAAAAAGTGAAGAAAACAAATTAATGGAGACGCCCGGACTCGAACCAGGGACCTCGAGGTCGGAAGTCAAGTGCGTTACCGATATACCAAAACATTTCCCATAGAGATTACACGTAAACGGAAAATGGAATTCGCAAATCCCACTTTGGAAGTGAAATATGAGCATGATCCCGGCATCTGAATGAAAAATAAAGGACACACTTATGATAGCTTATTGTCTCAGCTACAACATACTCAAAGCTCAGCGTAAACAAAGATAAAACGACGGAGATATTGCTCGCGAAAGACGAAAATGTAGAATCCAGTTTTGAGAAAAAGTCATGTCCCATAGAGAATACACGCAAAATGTGAAAAATTGACATGCCTCCTTTAATCACAAAAATACGCCATGATGCCTTTGTCAAAATGAAATATCGTGGTGACTGCATTTGTAGAGAATATTCTAAGGTAGAACATATCAAAATTTGAAAGAAAATTGATCAACATTTGCAGAGATACAATCAATTTTCCAAAAACCTGCTGAC